TTCGGGGGTATATACCGTAATTTTTGCCCATCCGTTTTTCTGTCCGTCTATTTATCTGTTTGCAAAAACTTTAACATTGCCAATAACTTTTGATTGGTGGAAGCCATGACTTTCATATTTCACATGTGTATTTCTTGTGACAAGACCTTTTTGGGCACCATCATATTTGACTTTTTGACCTTGACCTTGGAGTTTGACCCAGTTTTGTAAAACTTAAACAAACTTTAACCTTGGCCATAACCTTTGACAAGTTGGTACTAGGGCTTTCGTACTTCACATGTGTAATCCTTGAGACAAGACCTTTCTTTAAGGTATTCAATGTATAACGAATGGATTTTGAACAATTTTGAATCATTTTAAACTAGTTAAAAATGCATCGCTAGTTAACGATGAAAGGTAAATGAAACAAATTCACATGACTGATAACATAAAAGAACCTGGTCATTTTGCATCTTAAAGGTTTTTGAAGAGTTATCTGCCCTTGACCAAAAAAAAGAAAATTTTAATTTTGTCAAAATAACTGTGGTAAATGATTCATTTTATTTCATATTTTAGTAAAGAGAGAGTTTATGCATATTTTCACGAAAAGATCTTTATGAAATTCAAATTACTTTTTACAATATCTTGATAACACCTGCGCTGCCCATAGACTTCAATGTAAAATTCAAGGTGCTTTTTATTTGACAATAATCAAAATTGTGTAAATTCCTTTGGTGGAGTATTTTTTTAATAATACCTTCAAAATGCTACCATGGTTAAAAATATCGGACCATTCATTTATTAGGTACAAAATATGGTTGTTATACATTGAATACCTTAAATAGTAAAAAAGATGATCTCGACGTTGGAGTTTGGTCAACTTTTGAAAAACTTTAACCTTGGCCATAACTTTCGAACGGTTGGAGCTAGGGCTTTCATACGTCACATGTGTAATCCTTGTGACAAGACCTTTCTTTGGATACCAACAACTTTGACCTTGGAGTTTGACCTACTTTTAAAAAACTTTAACCTTGGCCACAACTATTGAACGGTTGGTGCTAGGGCTTTCATTTTCACATATGTAATTCTTGTGACAATACCTTCCTTGGAATACCAACACTTGCCATAACTTTTGAACAGTGCTAGGGTTTTCATACTTCATATATATATTTTTTGTGACAAGACCTTCCTTTGGATACCAACAATTATAGCCCATTGACCCTGACCTCGGAATTTGACCTACTTTTTAGAAACTTTAACCTTGGCCATAACTTTTGAACGGTTGGTGCTAGGGCTTTCATATTTCATATCTGTATTTCTTGTGAGTAGGCCTTTCCTTAGGCATCATTAATTTTGACCTTGATAGTTGACATTTTGAAAAACTTTTACCTTTCCCATATATATATCCAATTACTGCTGCTAGGGCTTTCATATTTCACAGGCATATTCCTCGAGACAAGACCTTACTTTGGGTACCAACATATTTGATTTGCATTTGAGAAAGTTTAACCTTCACTTTAAGTTGCATTACTGGGGCACCAGTGTTTTACAAACACATCTTATTTTTATGCTCCTGGATCGAAAGATCCCGGGGTATATTGTTTTTGTCCTGTCTGTCTGTTTGTCTGTCTGTCTTGTCAACTTTAACTTTGCCCATAACTTTTAATTGGTTGGAGCTATGACTTTTATATTTCACATGTGTATTTCTTGTGACAAGACCTTTCTTTGGGTACCATCATATTTGACCTTTTGACCTTGGAATTTGACCAACTTTTGCAAAATTTTATGAGACATAAACCTTGGACATAACTTCTGAACAGTTGGTGCTTGGGGTTTCAAGCTTCACATGTGTATTCTTTGTGACAAGTCCTTCCTTTGGATACCAACAACTTTGACCTTGACCTTGGAGTTTGACCTACTTTTGAAAAACTTTAACCTTGGCCATAACTTTTGAACGGTTGGAGCTAGGGCTTTCATACTTAATATAAGTAATCCTTGTGACAAGATCTTCCTATGGATACCAACCACTTTGACCTTGACCTAGGAATTTGACCTACTTTTTGAAGACTTTAACATTGGCCATAACTTTTGAATGGTTGATGCTATGGCTTTCATCATTCACATATGTTATCCATTTGACATCACCTTCCTTTGGATACCAACCACTTTGACCTTGACCTAGGAGTTTGACCTACTTTTGAAAAACTTTAACCTTGGCCATAACTTTTGAATGGTTGGAGCTAGGGCTTTCATACTTACTATAAGTAATCCTTGTGACAAGATCTTCCTATGGATACCAACCACTTTGACCTTGACCTAGGAATTTGACCTACTTTTTGAAGACTTTAACATTGGCCATAACTTTTGAATGGTTGATGCTAGGGCTTTCATTCTTCACATATGTTATCCATGTGACATCACCTTCCTTTGGATACCAACCACTTTGACCTTGACCTAGGAATTTGACCTACTTTTTGAAGACTTTAACATTGGCCATAACTTTTGAATGGTTGATGCTAGGGCTTTCATTCTTCACATATGTTATCCATGTGACATCACCTTCCTTTGGACACCAACCACTTTGACCTTGACCTAGGAGTTTGACCTACTTTTGAAAAACTTTAACCTTGGCCATAACTTTTGGATGGTTGGTGCTAGGGATTTCATACTTCACATATGTAATCCTTGTGACAAGACCTTCCTTTGGATACCAACCACTTTGACCTTGACCTTGGACTTTTACCTACTTTCGAAAAACTTGAACCTTGGCCAGAACTTTTGAATGGTTGGTGCTAGGGATTTCATACTTCACATATGTTATCCTTGTGACAAGACCTTCCTTTGGATACCAACCACTTTGACCCTTTGACCTTGGACTTTTACCTACTTTCGAAAATCTTGAACTTTGGCAATAACTTTTGAATGGTTGGTGCTAGGGGTTTTATACTTCATATATGTAATCCTTGTGACAAGACCTTCCTTTGGATACCAACAACTTTGACCTTGACCTAGACGTTTTACTTACTTTTAAAAAACTTTAACATTCGTCATAACTTTTGAACAGTTGCCTCTAGGGCTTTCAAATTTCACAGGTATATTCCTCTAGACAAGACCTTTCTTTGGGTACCAACATTTTTTATCTTTTGCCTTGATTTTGACATGCATTTGAGAAACTTTAAGCTTCGCCATAAGCTGCCATACAGGGGCATCAGTGTTTTACAAACAGATCTTGTTTACTTATGTTAATCGAAGTATTTTTACTATTAATTTCAGATCATTATATTTTTTGTTCTTCAATTCATACATGCACATTTTTATATTAAATGGAAATATTATTTTATATCCAAATTTTACATCACTGTTATCGGTTTAAGAGATTTTAAGCTTTGAAATCTCAAAAAAAAAGTTCCAGAGTAAGGTTTCATAGTAAAACAAAGTATCAATTTTTTTATGCCCCCGGATCAAAAGATCCGGGGGGGGGGGGGTTATATTGTTTTTGTCCTGTCTGTCTATTTGTCTGTCTGTCTGTTGTCAACTTTAACCTACCCCAGAACTATTGCGTTCTCAAGGGTAAGGCTTTAATATTTGACATGAGTGTTCATTATGACAAGACCTTTCCATTGGTACAGAAATTTTTTATCAAGTGACCTCAACTGTGACCTTTGACCTACATTTGAAAAACTTTAACATTGGCCATAACTATTGCACTGTAGTCTACGTCCCACTCCAGAATTGTGTTACCATCGGGAGCATAGTGTTTCACAAACACATCTTGTACTTTAATTAACTATAGTAAATTTTGGTTAGGGGTTTGCTTTGGGTACCAACCTCATGGACCTTGAAGTTTGACCCACTTTTGCAAAATTTACTGAACTTTAACCTTTGCAATAACTTTTGAACAGTTGGCGCAAGAGATTTCATACTTCACATGCTTATTCCGTTCTGTGGGTTCAATATTTTTAACCATGGAGTTTAACCTACTTTTGAAAAACCTTAACCTTGGCCATAAGTTTTGAATGGTTCGAGCTAGGGCTTTCATATAACACGTGTGTATATCTAGTGTCGAGACTTTCGATAACGAACCTTGGAGTTCTTTGAAAAACTTTAACCTTGGCATTAACTTTTGAACGGTTAGGGCTAGGATTTTATGATTCACAGGTGTATTTTGTGACAAGACCTTCCTATAAGTAGCAATAATTTTTTACCATTAGACCTTGATCTTTGAGTTTGACCTTCTCTTGAAAACTTTAACATTAGCCATTACTTTTGAAAGGTTAGTGCTAGGACTTTCATATTTCACAGGTGCATTTCTTTGACAAGACCTTCCAGTGGGTACCAACAATGTTGACCCTTTGATCTATACCTTTAGTTTGACCTACTTTTGAAAACCTTAACCTTTGTAATCACGTTTAAATGGTTGGTGTTGGGCTTTCATATTTCACTTGTATAATCATTCCCTTGGAAACCGAATAATGTGTTCCTTTGACCTTCGAGTTTGACCCTCTTTTGAATTTTGAAAACCTTAACCTTGGCCATAACTTTCGAACGGTTGCTGCTAGGGCTTTCCTTCTTCATATGTGTAATTCTTGTGATAAAACCTTTACTTGGGTTCAAATATTTCTTTTACCTTGACCTTATAGTTTGACCTACTTTTGAAAAAACTTTAACCTTGGCCACAACTGTCTGAATAGTTGGTGCTAGGGCTTTTATATTTCACAGGTATATTCCTTGTGACAAGACCTCTCCTTCTGCGCCATTTATTTTGACCTTGGAGTTTGACCTACTTTTGAAAAATTGTAACCTTGGCCATAACTTTTGAACGATTGTTGCTAGGGCTTTCATATTTGACAGATGTTTATTTGTACAACTTACAAGATATTTCTTTGAGTATCATTATTTTCGATCTCTTCACCTCCAACTTAAAGTTAACTTGCTTTTGAGTAACTTAAATCTTCGTCATGAGCTGGCAAACGGGGGCATCAGTGTTTCAAAAACACGGTTTTTTGTTGTTCTAGGTGATCAGCGCTATCCTTTTGAGGGGAGCACTTTAGGCGGTGACGACTATTCAACAAAAATCACTCTGTATCTAGGAATTCCAGTGGGGAATGACAATTTTTATCAAGTTTATGTATGAATATTTATGTTTTCTTGACATTGGATGCTTTTAGTGTAATGCATTTTGAAATGCATTTAATTCAGAAAGTAATTTCCGTTTCTTATCGTAGGTGACCACAAATGGACTCGTCACGTTTAACACCTCAGTTATAACTTATAACCCAAATATGTCCTCGCCTTACCCGTTTTTAGCTCCCTTCTGGACAGACCTGGTTCCCAAACGTATCAAAAATGATAGAGTGTCTTACAGAGTATACATGGACAAATCAACATTGAAGAATGCTAATATCGATGTACAGAATTTCAGTAGGACACCTTCTTTTCAAGCCAAATGGATGCTGGTAGTAACTTGGTATAATACGAGTGTTATTTCCCATGAAGATCATGTAAGTTTGTATCCACTTTATAAGATATTAAGTAGCAATTTCTCTTCGGAAACGATTAAGTCAATTGTGTATGTATTAAGAACAGTTAAAATGCACCTCTGTAATCATAGGTAACAAGAAAGCGATGGCTGGTTCTATGGCATGAAACTCATAAACAAGTCTGCTCTTCAACCGCTGAAGCAGAATTACAAAGACAGTTAAAATGATGGATGTGGATAAAAAAATTATCAGTTTTCTTATCATATTGTAATTTTCATGATAATGGGGTTTGGTCCATAAATTTATTAGGGCCCCGTCTTTGGGTGCCCTAGAGCGATCATTATGTCTGTTCCTCATGCAGGCCATTCCATTGTTGGAATATTCTCTTGTTCCATAAATTCCTTCACAGACCTGAACGGGGGCATTGTCTTCTTGAAAAAGGTAATCATTCGATGGAAAATGTGCTGCAAGATGATTGTCAATTATCTCTATATATTTCTGAGCATTTATTTTCCCAACACAAAGTGTGCCGACTCCATTGTAAGTAATGCATCCCCAGATCATAAAACCCAAACGTATACGTCGCCCTGCGGGTGGTGCAATACAAGGTGGGTCCCATTCCTCTCCGGCTTTTCTCCATACATATATACGTCGTTCGCCATCGATCATAACCTTACATTCATCTGTAAAAATTAGTTTTTTTCCAGTAGTCATCCACAGTTCTCTTCTTTGCACCATTTCACACGCTTTGTTTTATTCACTTCGCTTACACGCATTTTCTTCTTTACAAGTCTCCTTCTGTATCCATCTCGATTTAAATTCTTTTCACAGTGCTTTCTGAGACAGTTCCAGGACCAACTTCATTTCTAACACTCGTTAATTCTTTTAAATTTAGCCCTTGGTTACAACAGAGAGAGAGCGAATGTAAGAAGAAGCAGTTTTTTTTTCTCTTTTAAACCATGATTTTAAACCATGAGCGCATGTTTGTCTATTAATCTCCTTTTGGTACAATATTGTTATTGCAAATATACAACTACTGTTAAACGGAGAACAATAGACAAACATACGCTGACTATGTACAAAGTCAGTGAAAAAGTGGGCGTCCTCATTATCGTACGGAGATTCAAGATACTGTGATGACCCCACCTTTGAAAACAGCTTCGTACTTTGTAAATACATACTTTTTAAAAATGTAATTACGTAATGTTGTAGATTACATGTTGACCATTCCTGCAATTAAAAGAAAAATGCTTGTTTTGAAAGTTTATTTTGTCCCAATTTTCGCATATCCTTAAGTGCAGTCATCCTTTGTATGTGGGAAGTTAAAATATTGTCCCGCCCTTCCAAGTTTCGGACAATATACCTTTTTTGGCGAGTCATATTTTTCACTTAAATTGTCAGATAGTTTTTTGCCACCCGACCCCTTTGGAAAACGATACTACATGTCTGTAGCGGTTGTTCAGTGCGCGTGCAGTCACAAACAAAACCTCAAAAAACGTTGTAAACAATGATAGCAACAGCCAGAGCCAGCTGTGTATCTGAGCAGGACAAATGTTAGGTAAGCCTATCGTCGGATTATTTTCGAAACATTTCGATGTCTTACAGAACATAATGAAAACACGGAAGGTTTAATTTGTAACCTGAATAATTTTAATCTTTCTACAACAGGAGTTCGTTAATAAAAATGGTGTCATCAAGCAGCTTCGGTCATTTATTCAAATTCGGACTACATAATTAAACAATTATTAACTAGCCTTGGTCATTTTTGATATTTTTCTGGTGAATAACAAGCCTTATTCACCACCGAAAGAGACCATAATTGTATTTTATTTTCCGTTTTTTGTAAAGTTTTTGAGATTGTCCACAGTATATACAAATACTAAAGTTAAGAAACAAAATCCTGTACACAAATAAACAGCTTCGAGGGAGATTTTAAACTTGATAACGGTATTGCCAATGGCATTAAAGCAGCTAGAGGCAGATTGGGGATTCGTTCGGAATCCAGATCCAGAGACATCAACGCTTTTAATGGGCTCAAGGAGGTTGGATCCTGTTATCAGAGGTAATGAGAATTTTTTTCCAAGTACATGTATATTTTTAGAATCTACACGCATAGCTTAATTAAAAATCAAAACAAAAATAGAGGGCCAATACGCTTCTTTTGGTGCTAAGGAGCATTTAATATGACCTTTTTTTGCACTGTAATTACGTCTAGTTTTTCCTCTATTATTTCTTATCCAAATAAATTATGGGAACATACACAAGTCTTTTTTCATCTTGAAGAGTCACATAAAAATTTGTGACTACAAAAAAGTTTTAAATTACTTCGCATAGTCAATTATTTGACCTTTTTACACCCAAAAATGTCATTTTCTGGCATTAAAAATTTAACAAGCAATAAAATCATTTGAAAGTAATGATATTTTACTGAATGTAAGCAGAGTGGTAAAAATTATCTGATATATTCTAATATATTCAGGAAAGAAAATTAAATGTGGGGGTCTGTGATGTAAATTTTTAGATATTACTAAAATAGTATAAATTTTAAGCTTAATTTCGGCCATTTTTTCCAGGACAGTTAATTTAGTTTAAAATTTAGGAACAGCATAAATATTTAACTGCACAAAATAACCCTGTACAAGCTGCATGTAGAAAAAAAACGAATCCAACTTAACAATACTGTAAATACTTCCAAAGAGAAAAATGATCATATATTTTGATATTTTATTTGAAAAGACGTTAATGGTAATCTAACTTCCAAGCTTTATGATAAACGTGATGACTTTAACTTTTCAATCGTCAACTTCCCTTACTTATGCAGCAATACACCTATACGGGGTTTATATCTCTCAGTTAATTCGATACGCAAGAGCATGCTCTACGTATGTACATGTACAATTTCTAAAACGAGGTAAGTTATTGACAAACAAGTTGATGAAATAAGAATATCAGCAGTCTCATTTAAAGTCATCATTTCGTAAGTTCTATGGTCGATACAATGATCTTGTCAGCAAATACAATTTATCATTGAGTCAAATGCTGACTGACGTTTTTCATACTAATTGTTACGCCATTATTTACACACTGAATTGTCGACGGATTTTCCCGTTATTTTCCGATCATGACAAGGAGTACACGGCGGGTGTGACCGGTCGGCAGGGGATGCTCACTCCTCCATGGCACCTGATCCTTCCTCTGATGTCTTAGAGGTCCGTGTTTGCTCTGCTCCTATTTGGTAATGTTTAATTGACTTTTGAGCTCGAATACTGTTCGTTATCTCCATATATTTCATTTCTTCTAAAAGCCAACAAAAAAAGTTCTTCACTTAATGCTTTCGGCATTGAGTTTCATAATGGGGTTTTAATTGAATATAGTTTAATTAGCATTGTAGAATCCAAATTTATTGTAAGAACTAAAACATTATGCAGATTTTTTTTTTAAATAGAGGTGAAGACAAAAATCTGCTCAAAAGCTCAGGAACGAACCTTTTAATAATAGTAATTATTATTTGTAGAAATAGTAAGTTATTTACATTTGATTAATTAAAGAGCAAAAGGACCAGAAAATCTTTTGTACAACAACTTGCATTACGTAATAATCCAAAAGCGCATAATGTGACACTCCCCCCCCCCCCCCCATTCACACTCGCATACAAACAAGCATTGAGCTCACAAAATGATACCCCCGCCTCCCATATGATTATAATGGCGAAGTCCATGTTTTGCTATGGGAGACCCAAAATGCCTGTAGCCCCAAAATAAGTGTCAGATCAAAAAGTAAAATAGAAGTTGCACAATGGCACTATGTAATAAAGAATCTGTGAAAGTATCATTAAATTTTATTATTTGGTATAGGAGGAATTGCGGGTAAGAAATGGGTATCCGTCAATATTATAGAAAGAATGGCAGTGTCCATGTTTTACTATGGAAAACCCGAAATATGTGTCCGATCAAAAAGTTAAATAAGAGGTGCACAATGGCCTATGGAACAAAGATTCTGTGAAAGTCTCATTAAATTTCATTTAGTGGTATAAGAAGAGTTGCGGAAAAGAGATGGGTACCCCAAAAAGTAACAGACGGACGGACGTACAGCTAGACGGACGGACGATCACCCCAATCACTATATTAATTATATGTTCAAGGGACAGAGTACTTAACTTTAGCCAATAGGCAACGGATTAAGGAATAAAATCGATTAAAATTTAAATGCTTTTCTAAATTTTGAAAATGAAGCTTATTAAAAGATATATGTAGGCCCCAATAAAATAAACCCATAGCTATGTGGAAACATTTTTATGTGTAAGGAGAGAAATGGCGTATCTGCTGATCTTTAAAAATTAATCTATAAAATCAACAAATAGGGTGATAATAAAATCTCTATTTTGTTTAGAGAAAGAGCCGAAAAGTTCAAACAAACATGTAAAACTACACGTTTTTCCAGTGTGAGGAATGTGGTGATTTTTTCCCCCCGCAGTATCAATATTTTCCAATACATGTACCATGCATATGCACGTGCACATGACCACCAAGGACCCACGGCCCAACTGCAGTGTGATGTCAGAGAACCACTAAAAGAGGGAAAAGATATTAACTACAGTAATTTCTGGACAAGAAATGCAACTTTTGCAGCTAATAGACTAATATAAAAAGTACAAGGAACGAATCCTGAGTGGCAAAATTAGGAAAAAGAGAAGGTTATTGTTTAATTCTGAACAAGTAGCTGGCAGATGGAAGTCTTTGTTCTGGGCATACAAAAGTTTAAAAGAACAATAAGAAACCTGGGAGTCGAAAGAATATGAAAATGCGCTGAATAACATAATAGGTACTAATCCTATAATAATTCGAACATTTACACTCACATCTGACGCATCCACTATCGCTGAATAAAGAAAATTAGATGAAAGCAAGGACGGTGACGTTGAGACATCCAGTGAACAAGCATAATACAGTACATCTGGACCGGAAAAAAACCTCAAACGGGGAACAGAAAGACCTATAAATGAGATAATGCAAGTTTTTCAA